TGAACACGATGAGCCCAAGCTAACGCACACAAAATAAATACTGTAAGCTAGGACATCTGCAGAAGTGTGTGTGTGTTTTGCTTTCATGCTGAACACACAAATAAAGGCTTTTCACAGTAATAGCCTGTCAGGTAACAGAGGTACCTTGCATTTTTATCTCCAAAGCCAGTTATGTCGCTGCTGGAACAAAGCGACTCATAAAAAGGTCTGGCACCGGAGCGAGGAGAGGGGAAACATGTCGCTTTCTAATGGCATTCCTGCAGGGTACAGGACTCAGGTATGGACTCGGGTTACAACGCTAGTCAATTACAGCATGTCAAGTATGACATTACTTGGCATGCATACTTCATGTAGTGTCCACACATACACACACACACATCTGGCCACTATGAAAGCCCTCATCAGTCATTGATGTGGCTTTACTACATCACTCAGCTTCAAGGGTAATGTTATACGAGGAATAAGGGCCAATTAAAGGACACCCTTAAAGAACGGTGAACCTGAGGGTATTCAGGATATAGAGACGACATTTAACATGTTCATCCATCTTTTCTTAGTTGTCCTTGTGCTGTAAGACAAGTCCATGAAAAACAGTAGTGTCTTAAAGTTTCAGAAATTGTTCCTGCACTATTTCTATAAACACATTTTCCTAAATTCTCTCAACTCCGACACTGGGATAGTTTCAGAAATTGCTAAAAACTTATGACAAGGTTGTGAAGAGTTAGTGAATAGTTATTACCTCCTTTATAGAGGTTACGCCTATTGACTTCAATCTGTTCAACAGAGTTTTGGAAGAGAAAAACAAGGTTAATTAATAAGGTTATTCTAAATATTGGACAAATAATTATTTATTTGACATTTACTTTAATTTGCTTCGGATCTGTTTTTGAGTCTTCCATGTTGAGACACCTACGCATTCACACACACACACACAACGATATTAAAATTTGAATCTCCAAACGGCAAAGAGCAAAGGGCAAAGAGTTTAACACCAGCAAAGAAAGACGAGCGCCAATCATCTCGACGGAGCAATAAAGCAACAAGAGGAGAAAAGAAATCAAAATGCAAGATATCAAATATGGCTAAGAAGGCGTCTTCGACATTCCAGCGTCATAACCCTTTAATAGTTATCGATTTCTTCACCGACAGAGTTGAGCTCTATCTGAGGCTCCGTTATGAATATAATAAATCATAATTGCAAGGTCAGCGGAAGTCTTGATCACCCGACAAGATGAGTGAGCAACCATTAACCTTTAATTTGACGACGCATGAAGAGAATTCATGATTGGAAAGGGAATAATTAAAAAGGCAAGTTAGCGATTTTACGATAAACTCATCTGAAAGTGGTTCTTCGGCGTAGAACGAGGTTAGTCCTCGAACACAGTGGCTACTTTTATCGAGCGGCTATTTGAATGATATTTGGGGGGGTCAGTTGGTGAGGGTGATGTCTCTTCAAAAGCCACATCATCATTCTGAAATGTCCAGTCTGAACTTGTCCTAAAAATCATTTGTTTACGCACACACTTCTGTGGAAGTGTGGCTATCAACATCTGCTAACATCTGCCACCCCTGATATCCCACCTAACGCCTCCACCCACGTCTCCCACTCGACATTTTTTCCATTTGCACCTCTTCTCCCTCCCCTCCCCATCGAGGTGTACACATCAGCTTGACAAGGAACACCACTTCTGGTCGCCCTCCAGCAGCCGCTCTTCTTTTTCCCTCTTCCTCCTCCTCCTCTCACGGGAACATGATGCTTATTATACATAAACAAGAAGCCTCTAATAAAGCGCAGGCTTGTTTTTCTGTACCTCAGACTGAGCATTAGGTATAAAAGGTGTGGGCAGAGGGAGCTGTTTGTAACTATATTGTTTGCGTACGGGACTCAGCCAGACGGCTCCTTTTGTTCGCCCGACACGGCGAGAACGAGGACATTTGAATATGAAAAGGAAAACAGGCAACGTGTGAAATAGAACTGGAACCCGAGATGATTATGAATACATCTTAGGAGTCGAGCGAGGTCAGAGGTGGGAGAGAGTTGGGAATGGGAGTCTATGTACGTCCCTGCAGGGAAATGGGGAAGTCTGAAGTGTGTACGTTTGTTTACGCACATATCTGGGGCAAAACCGCATCGCATAAACATAATGAGTGGCTGCGACACAAAGAGGAATAACTAAAAAATTATTTAAAGGCTGTGAATGCATTACTAACTCGGTGCAAGACTGCATTGGTTATTGGGATGTATTCACACTTCAAATTCCAAGTGACCACTGGGTTACCCCGAGTCATCCTACACACACACACACACACACACACACACACACACAGACACACACGATAGCGAGGCAATCAAAAAGCGGGGGGCGTGTTTGGGAGACATGTGGAGGAATATGGGGGGGGGGGCAATGGTAACACATCTACTGCCGGAAAAAGTGTTATTCTCATAATTTATTCATAGGGAACGTGATTGAATCTGGATGTGGGCTCTGTGATCCTGGAGTAGTGATTTGCCGAGGACACAAACACTCCGTACACATTCAGACGGACAGCTGAGGAACTGCTGCACACATCAACACTTCACACGTGCTCTGGCTGGCGGCCTCACTACATACGTTCCCGAATATATTCCAGATGTGGCTACATATGGAGGTGTAATAAAGTCTTTAGATGAAGCATCGGATTAATTGAAGCGTTCGAGGCGTGCTTCGATGGAGAAGGCAAGCAATTAAGCCCCCCCCCGTGTGTGTGTGTCTGCCTGTGTGTATGCGAGGCATGTGACGAGCGCCTGTGTAGCTGTCTGCATGTGTGTAATGATATATGGCGAGTCCTTACAACATTCAAGAGACATGCATTACAGATATTACAGATTCATTTCAAACTCATTACAGATGTGTGGCTCCGGATAGGTTTAAAAAAAAACAGATGTTCTACACAAACCACTGCTGCTCGGATTCTTACTTAAAGATCTGGGAAACAGACACTTGACGTATGGTAACCTCTCGAACATGAAAATATAGTTTGTATCAGTATGTAGTATTATTCACAAAAGGGGGCAAATACAGCAAAGGCTTCTGCCAAAAACCGCAGTAACATCTGTACTTCTGACTTTGTGCTCTTTATACTTTGTACGGCGGGACTTAAAACAAGCAATCAAACTCTTATTTCCGAGACGATGTTGCTGAGCATCCGAGTTAATAACTATATTGACTTGAAGCAGACCGTTTCGGAAACTCCAAGCAGAGAGAGACGAAGAGACACACATGACTAAGCTTTAAGTGTTGAGTAATCCCACAGCCCGAAGAACTCATCAACTCAATCTCTCGTTTCTAACTCTTTTGCGCTCCCCTCCCCTCCCCGCAGTAAGTTTAATTTGAAGAGAGGAAAAAGTCCCTTTCCACACCGTCTCGATACATATTTTTCTAATTTCTTCCTTCAGAAATCTCTTAATGGCTTCTTCGCTGGACCCTGATGAAAACAATGACTTTTAACCTCCCCTCCCCCCCCGGTCCATCGTTCCTCTCCCTCCATCACAGTCGACTTATTTCACTTTCTAAATGATTTCTTACTCCTTCAATCTCTTTGCAGCCATTCAGGCCCCGGCCCGGGCTTGTGGCCGGTGCTGTGCATTGTGACAGGTGAAATGAAAGCCCAAGAGAAATCTCATCTTCTTATAAACGCTCCGAGGCATTCAATGTGCCCGTCAAAAAATATATATTTTTCGTCCCCTTTTCTCTCCGAGACGCCGACAGAAGTGAGCTGTTATTTGAAGACCATTTGGGGTTTTCCTTTATCCGCAGTTAATCAATGCTGTTCTTCTGTGGTGCCGGGAGGGGAAGTGAGGCATCTTTGCATACATTTACAGACTAGCTACTGTATCACAACTTCAGTCTGTCTTTTGTTTATTTCTAAGATAAATACCGAGAGAAGCCTAGTGAATACTACATTATGTAAATAGTCATAATTAGTTATGCAGATATCGTCAAAGGATCATTCTTCCGTGTGTTATGGAGTCGTTTTTCTACAGATTGAAAGCACTCAACTGTTGTCGTCTCTATCCATCGCCCACCTTTTCTGTTTCATCCAAACAATGTGAAGAAAAGAGGAATGGTAGCAGACAAACAGCGGTCAGGCACTGCTGATTGAAACCTCAAGGTCACAGGCAGGCAGGGGGGGGAGAGAGAGAGAGAGACAGAGAGAGACAGAGAGCAAGAGGGCGAGCGAGTGAGAGAGAGAGAAAAGAGAGGAGAGAGGGAAGAGAGAAGATAGGAGAGAGAGCAAGCAGAAGTAGGAGCAGTAGAACAGCTGAGCTTCTCCAGGGTCTGGCCAGGCAGCGCTCTCTGTGCTGGAGAGCTTTACAAGGCCTCTCCCTGTAGGCGGATTCTGCAAAGTCACCCTGCTCTCTGCTCTCTCTCATCAATCTCCTATCCTTCCGTTTTCCTCTCCACCATCCTGTTGTCCGCCTTTCTTTTCCTGAAGTGGAACTCCTTGACCAGCAACAGGCCCTTCCCTATCTGGACCCTTTTGTTGCGCCGCTCCCTCGTCTCCGGCTGGATCAATCCACACCTCTGCCTCCATTGTAGCCACACATGACCGAATCCACCCTCACCTCCCTGCACCATTCACGGCGAGACATCTTTTCATAAACTCTCTACTCATCTATCTATCGGCACTTACCTAGTATTTGTGCGTGTTCTGTGAGCTTGAAGGTCTGAGATCTCTTCTCACTTGACCCGTACACCTCTAGCCTCACTCCGTTTTCTTCATCCTTCGCTCTGTGTTCCAGCTGCTCTTTTCTCTCTCCTGCTTTATCCAACAAACTCTGCCCAATTATTCTCTGTCAGATTTTACTTTTTTCACTCTTCTGTCAATACTCTTTCACACGTTCTGCTCTTTCATCCTTTTTTCGTTGGTCTCACTATCCTTCCAGCCGTCGTCACTTCTCCAATCCAGCTCTTCCGGAGTCTTGCGTACCCCCCAATCTCTCTTCCCCCCGTCCTCACCTTGTAATTCTCCACTCTTGCTGTAGAGTTCTCGTCTCTGCTCTCTCAAGTAGGCACTCATGCTGATGGCATGGGAAGACGATTCAAACCTGCAAAAACGCACAAAAGGTTTAACACACGACACAACAGTTCAACACACAACGTCACAGGAAACAAAAGGAAACCGTGATCCTCACTTGAAGAGCGACTGCTTCGCGCGCTGTGGTTTTTTCTTCGCAAAAAAGGCGGCGAACTCACTGCCAGTGCTGGCGTAGGAGAGTTGAGCAGATGGCTCCGTGGCACTGCGGCTGTTCTTCACGTCCAGATACTCCATGAGCAGAACCTAAAACGGCAGACGGGGCACCACGTCAAAAAGTCTTTATGGGAGAATTGTCCTTCAGCCAGGTCACATGGGGTCAATCTCTCCATGCATCCTCAGTGCTTCACAATCACAACAAACTACAAAGCATCAATGTGAACCATCAGTTGACTTAAAAGTGTAAAGCCGTTCACTGAGGCTGCTCTCATGTCAGTCCCTCGTTTATCACTTTCATAAGCTTCCTGGTGTTACACCTGAGATAATGTAACATGGAGTACTCCAGCTCATTAATGAGTTCAAAGCTCCCACACAATCATATCCTGTGAGCTCAGCCTGCCTGCTCTGTTCACTTATCAACTTATTCATGAGCAGCTTTTTTTTAAACCAGAAGGCCTTTGTAGAGTAGAAGTAAAACAATAAAAATACACACATTTACTGCATTAACCATCGGATTATGCTCACTCTTTGTTGTGCTCACGTAAGGCAAACCAAAAGTTGCTTCAGTCATGTTTAAAAAAAAAAATCATCACAAAGCATCACAATTTATGGCAACACACCGTCTACCAGGCCAACCCTGAAAAACAAAAGAAAACCCGAACTTTGAGGCGGCCGACACGACCGGGTGCTTCTCGCCGTTAAAAACTTTGTCGACCTTTTTCCCTGATCTGTCGACATGATCCATGGAGAGATCCATCAACGTCTTCTCGTGCTTCATAAAAATCTTATCACCGTCTAACAATAGCTGAGGACGAGCACATTGAAACCGTGGCCAGACAGAGAAAGTGAACTTCCTCTCCTCCATCATCTGTTGCTTTCATTGCCTCTCATTTCTCAAAATCTCTGCGTGCTTCATCATCTCTCACATTTCCATTTTCTCTCTATCGCTCCGTCTCCCTCATTTCATCCTCTCCCTTTTCTCTCTCTCTCTCTCTCTCTCTCTCTCTCACCCCCTTCTTCATTCCTCTCTCCATGTGAATACATATGTTCGAAAATAGCCTCCCATATCTAATAGCTTCATAATTTAGCAGGGCCATTTAGCCCGTGTGTGTGTGCGTCTAATCCAGAGGCGCCGCGTGGGTCAGCCCACAATGGGACAGGAGTAATGGCCGAGCAGATGGAGATCCATCCCGAACCATAATGACGCAATTAACGCTGCGCAGAGCTCCCCCCATCATGCATGGGAAAGCCATGCTAGCATTGGCGGTAATTTGAGTGCACAGCCATTAAAAAATAATACTTAAGCAGGTATCCTGTATGTTCTCTCACAGGTTTCAATGGCTTATTACGACAACAACAAAAAACGGTCAATTTTGTTGAAGAGAGCTAAAATGCATTTCTCCAACTTCAAATTGATCAACAAGGCTGATGTCACACTGTAGCAACTGGTCACGAATGTAAATACGCACGTTCAACACGCGCACAATATCATCTAATTACTCTCTAACATACTTCCCCACATCACAGGCAGCAGCGGAGGCCATCACACCGGCAACACCAGGGCATCCACTTGCCACTAGCCTCACGCAGCAGCTAATCCCATCAGTGTATTAATTACTAATGATGAGCTGATGGAGCGAACCCCCCCCCCCCCGCCACCCGACTTGCTTGCGAGCTAACGCCCAAGCAGACTTAATGAAATGCCAGCGCCGGGCTGATGAAGGGGCTCCGACCCTACTTAAATTGCATTAGCCCAGAGACAGAGTGAACTTTGGAGGCAATTAGCTGGACGGCTAGGACAGAGAGGAAGATAGAGGAAGAGAGGGATGGGAGGCGGCAAAGCAACACGGAAGGAGAGATACAAGTTTGAAGTTGTGGAGAATAGAAAGGGCAAAGGATTATGGGAGTGAAATGCACACTGAACAGAATGTAACGGAGGAAATGGGAACGGAAAGAGAGACGGAAGAGAAGAACATGGAAGACAAAGAGCACAGGTTACATAACCAGTCGTTGCTGATTGAACAGCTCAAAGGGAAGTTAAAAAGGAAGACTTTAGTAGAGAGAAGAAGCTTTTGTTAACATGGCCTAAAATCTGCAAAGCTGCCTCTTTAAAAAGCGCTTTTACTTTGTTGCAAAGCCCAAACTACTGTAAACGTGTATATTCTCGTTACAAGTGGATTGGAAGACACCGACTGAATACATCTAACTCCCAGTGAGCAAACTAACTATCAAGAATAACAGAACAATCTCAGAAACTTAAGACTTCACCCTTGGGTTGTCAAGAAAGTGCCTTACGTTTCTTTTTCTTTTTTTTTAAATAAAACGACAAACGTTTTCCAATTATAAATGAATCACAACATCTCACTTCAAACCTTGAAATATATTGTGTTGTCGTGTTAATATGAGCCATCGTCATCTCCACCTGTCAACTATTCCAGTACGTCCCCAGGGAATTGATTTGAGCAAACTACTACGTGTCACATGTAAGCTGCAATCATGCACACTACACACACACACACACCACCCTTGTTCAACACAAACAAGGCAGAGCCAACTGTGGTTATAGCATCACATGAACCAGATGATATATATGTATATATAAAACCCAGTGCTTGAGGATGATATTTACGTTAAGAAAGATAATCCACTAAATGCTGCTCCAGTGAACACGTCTGATGAATGTAAATATAAAAGATATTTGCTCTGTTTGACATCGTACTCGTCTGCTATTCACTAGTAAAACAATGGAGCCGTCCATCCTTTCCACGACTACTCGCATGACCTGCATGTACTGTCCTTGTCTCCGTAACACAATCTCCCTTTCTTCCTTCCTCTCACCCGTCAGGTCAAGCATATGAAACCTCATTAAAACTGCTATTACTCATGCAACAAAGAGGCCCGGATCCTATTACTGTCACCTGTGTGTGACCGTGCCGCTCATCAGCGAGGATCAAAAATAAGGATAACCAGGAAGATCAGGAATTAGTAAAAAAAATGAATTGTGTTACAATGAAGGGGGGGGGGGGGGGGGGG